AAAAAAAAAAAAAAAAAAATTCAGAGGCCAGGCGTGGTGGCTCATGTCTGTAATCCAAGCACTTTGGAGGCCAAGGCGGCGGATCACCTGAGGTTGAGAGTTCAAGACCAGCCTGACCAACATGGTGAAACCCCATTTAAAAAAAAACAAATTCAGAAGAATTTCAGGATCCTGCAACTTTAAAGTTACCACCATGAGCCTCACCTCAATTTATTACCATGTTGACAAAGTCAACAGAAGTGGTGGGTAATGGAATAATTTTAACAACAGAATTCCATAATTCAACTAAAGTCTTCTAATGACTAATGTTTATATTTCTCTATCTCTCTCTCTCTCTCTTTTTTTTTTCTTTTGTGACAGAGTCTTGCTCTGTCACCCAAGCTAAGCAACAAGAGCAACTCCAACCTAGGCAACAAGAGCGAGACCCCCATCTTGCTACAAAAACGAAAAGTGTACAGCAGTAAATGGTAGTGTATCTCAACTCCAAGTCTGTTGCCATCGGATGAAGCTGGCTAGCACTCTTGCTGGATGAATATTAAACGGGTGCTGGAGGGCAGTCCCTTGGCTAGGGAATTCGGGGTCACATGAAGTTCAGCTTAATCACTTTTGAAATTCTCCGGTCTGTTTTTTCTCTCATCCTACAACTTACAGTGTTGTATTTGTAGCAACTGTATTTGTAGCACGATGGGGGTCTCATCCTCCCCGTTCTGTTGCAAGCAGGGCTGAGCTGAACTGTATTTAGCTCTCTGAACTTTGCAGATTTGTACATGACAGTGGCACCTGTCATTCTTTACAAAACTCTATCCACTTTTATTTTTTCCTAACTTGCAAATATATTTGTTCAAATAAAATCTTACCCAGGCTCCAATAAATAAGAGGTAACCATGGAGCTGCTCTGGTTTCTAAGATACTGTTTCTTACCTAGAGATAGTTTTGCCCCAGGATTATTTGGTAACTTCTGGAGTTTTTTTTTTTTGTTGTTCTCGCTCTCTCTACTACTAGGGAGGTGTAGACAAGTTACTATGTTTTAAAGACACTTGGAATAATTCATATCTGTGAAGTTATACTCCCAACTTTTTTTTTTTGAGACAGGGTCTCATTCTGTCGCCTAGGCTGGAGTGCAGTGATGCTATCACGCTCACTGCAGCCTCAACCTCCCAGGCTCAAGTTGATTCTCCCACCTCAGACTCCTGAGTAGCTGGGACTACATGCTACCACACCTAGCTAATTTTAAAATTTTTTTGTAGAGGCAGGGTCTCACTGTGTTGCCCAGGCTGGTCTCAAGCCATCCACCTACTGCCTGAGCCTCCCAAAGTGTTGTAATTACAGTTGTGAGCCACTGTGTGCGGCCTGGAGACTGTTTTATTGTGACAATTGAGGCGGGGGATTGCTGCTGACGTCTAGTGGGTAGAAGCCAGAGATGCCGCTAAACACTCCTCCATGCACAGAGCCAACCCCCACACCAAATTATCCAGTCCCAAATGTGCAATAGTGCCCTACCGACGCATCCTGCTCTACAGGAGCAAGGACTAAGTGCTTCCGGCTCACTCTTGTATTTCCAGTTCACCACCTATAGTGAGTGTCCCATATTGGGTACTCAGTAAATATTTATTGAATGAAAATTGAAGGCCAGGCGCCGTGGCTCACGCCTGTAATCC